CAGGCGCCCACCTGCCCGCACAGCGCGGTACTGGGGCGTGGAGAAGCGGTCCGACTGGGACACGGTGATGGCCGTGATGCCCAGCGCGCAGACGATGACGAGGCAGATGAGCTGGGGCTGGGGCGGGGAGTAGGAGGAGGAAGTAGTACAGCCAGGGCACGAAGCTGCCCACGATCAGCAAGGTGATGCCTGAGTAATCCAGCCTGCGGGGCAGAGAGAGAACCCAGGAGTCCTGGAGCCCAGCCCCTCCCGCCGCTCTAACCACTGGACCCCACTCCCCTCCCAGCCCCAAGGACAGAACCCGGAACTCTGTCTCCCAGCCAAAGCGCCCGTTAACCTTTGCCATCCATGTGCGGAATAATTGTGTCATGTGCACCGAGACGTGTGCCAATGTGCACCACCAGGAGAAACACTAGTGGTGAGGGCTCTGCTAATCAGCTGGGCAGCGCCGGCGTCTCTCCTGTACAAGTGCCCAGCTCACAGGGAACGCTGCTCTAACCACTAGACTCCCCTCCCCTCCCAGAACACGGACAGGCCCTGGTTCCCAGCCGCCTCTCGCTATGCCAGCGGGTGCAGCCTGGCCGGGCGGGCGCTCACTTGGAGAAGGCGCGGGACACCCTCTCGGAGTGGCAGTACACCGTGTGGAAGAGCCAGGAGAAGCAGAGGCAGAGGTTGGCTCCCAGGAAGAAGGTCCCGAAGACGACACGCTCCTGCACGGGGGCCACGTAGTTCATGTTGGGGCTGAACATGTAGCCGATGCCCAAGGCGAGGAAGAAGATGAAGCCTGGGATGGGAGAGGAGGAGAATCAACATGCAGCCACCTCTGGGGCAGGGCCGCGGGAGAACAGCTGTGCATAACACCGCAGGGGGAGGGGTGCCTGGTGCGACACCAGAGACTCTCCTTGCCCCGCCCCGTGTCCCCAGGCCCTGCTGACCGATGAGGTGCGTCCAGATGTTGCCGGTCTCCGTGTGCAGGCGGAAGATGCTGCGGAAGCAGGCGCGGAAGGAGGGCATGGGCGGCCGGTGCCCGTGCAGAAGGAAGTCGTTGTCCTTCAGCCAGTCGGGAAGCACGTCATGGGGGATGACTTTCCAGCGCCCCTCCCACACCTGCAGGGAGAGAACCCAGGAGTCCTGGCTCTCTGCTGTAACCCCTAGGCCTCACTCCCCTCCCAGAGCCAGGAGAGAACCCAGGCGTCCTGGCTCTCTGCTGTAACTCCTAGGCCTCACTCCCCTCCCAGAGCCAGGAGAGAACCCAGGCGTCCTGGCTCTCTGCTGTAACTCCTAGGCCTCACTCCCCTCCCAGAGCCAGGAGAGAACCCAGGCGTCCTGGCTCTCTGCTGTAACTCCTAGGCCTCACTCCCCTCCCAGAGCCAGGAGAGAACCCAGGCGTCCTGGCTCTCTGCTGTAACTCCTAGGCCTCACTCCCCTCCCAGAGCCAGGAGAGAACCCAGGCGTCCTGGCTCTCTGCTGTAACTCCTAGGCCTCACTCCCCTCCCAGAGCCAGGAGAGAACCCAGGCGTCCTGGCTCTCTGCTGTAACTCCTAGGCCTCACTCCCCTCCCAGAGCCAGGAGAGAACCCAGGCGTCCTGGCTCTCTGCTGTAACTCCTAGGCCTCACTCCCCTCCCAGAGCCAGGAGAGAACCCAGGCGTCCTGGCTCTCTGCTGTAACTCCTAGGCCTCACTCCCCTCCCAGAGCCAGGAGAGAACCCAGGCGTCCTGGCTCTCTGCTGTAACTCCTAGGCCTCACTCCCCTCCCAGAGCCAGGAGAGAACCCAGGCGTCCTGGCTCTCTGCTGTAACTCCTAGGCCTCACTCCCCTCCCAGAGCCAGGAGAGAACCCAGGCGTCCTGGCTCTCTGCTGTAACTCCTAGGCCTCACTCCCCTCCCAGAGCCAGGAGAGAACCCAGGCGTCCTGGCTCTCTGCTGTAACTCCTAGGCCTCACTCCCCTCCCAGAGCCAGGAGAGAACCCAGGCGTCCTGGCTCTCTGCTGTAACTCCTAGGCCTCACTCCCCTCCCAGAGCCAGGAGAGAACCCAGGCGTCCTGGCTCTCTGCTGTAACTCCTAGGCCTCACTCCCCTCCCAGAGCCAGGAGAGAACCCAGGCGTCCTGGCTCTCTGCTGTAACTCCTAGGCCTCACTCCCCTCCCAGAGCCAGGAGAGAACCCAGGCGTCCTGGCTCTCTGCTGTAACTCCTAGGCCTCACTCCCCTCCCAGAGCCAGGAGAGAACCCAGGCGTCCTGGCTCTCTGCTGTAACTCCTAGGCCTCACTCCCCTCCCAGAGCCAGGAGAGAACCCAGGCGTCCTGGCTCTCTGCTGTAACTCCTAGGCCTCACTCCCCTCCCAGAGCCAGGAGAGAACCCAGGCGTCCTGGCTCTCTGCTGTAACTCCTAGGCCTCACTCCCCTCCCAGAGCCAGGAGAGAACCCAGGCGTCCTGGCTCTCTGCTGTAACTCCTAGGCCTCACTCCCCTCCCAGAGCCAGGAGAGAACCCAGGCGTCCTGGCTCTCTGCTGTAACTCCTAGGCCTCACTCCCCTCCCAGAGCCAGGAGAGAACCCAGGCGTCCTGGCTCTCTGCTGTAACTCCTAGGCCTCACTCCCCTCCCAGAGCCAGGAGAGAACCCAGGCGTCCTGGCTCTCTGCTGTAACTCCTAGGCCTCACTCCCCTCCCAGAGCCAGGAGAGAACCCAGGCGTCCTGGCTCTCTGCTGTAACTCCTAGGCCTCACTCCCCTCCCAGAGCCAGGAGAGAACCCAGGCGTCCTGGCTCTCTGCTGTAACTCCTAGGCCTCACTCCCCTCCCAGAGCCAGGAGAGAACCCAGGCGTCCTGGCTCTCTGCTGTAACTCCTAGGCCTCACTCCCCTCCCAGAGCCAGGAGAGAACCCAGGCGTCCTGGCTCTCTGCTGTAACTCCTAGGCCTCACTCCCCTCCCAGAGCCAGGAGAGAACCCAGGCGTCCTGGCTCTCTGCTGTAACTCCTAGGCCTCACTCCCCTCCCAGAGCCAGGACAGAACCCAGGCGTCCTGGCTCCCAGGCCCAGACAGCTTCTTGCCTTTCTCCAGACCTTGTCCTCCTCAGTGCTGGTGCTGGCGTCTCTGGTTGCTTTCCCGTCCCCACTCCCCATGGTCTGGTGGGGCTGGCTGGTCCCAAGCTCCGAGCCTGGTGAGGCCCCAGCCCTTTCGCCCCCCTCCAGCCCTGTGCGCCTGCCCCCGGCTCCCTGGAGCATCTGGGCTGGGCCCTGGCATGGCTGGGTGGAAACCCGAGGAGGGTGCTGCCACCTGGGGCAGCTGAGGAGCTGTCATGGGCACCCTCGGTGGGGGGTGGGGTAGGTGGCAGAGCTGCTGAGGTCACAAGGCCAC